TAAACTATAAAAATGTTATTTATTGAGATGTTTCACTAAATCATACATTTTTCTTATTCCTTATTTTGTTTATATATACTGAATTCTCTATATTATATTATTATTATATAACATCCCAATAATTGTTGATTTTTTTTTATGTATGCTTGCATTTTAACTATACTACTTTTTATGTCAATTGTTATGTATGTGTTATAGTCTTATAAATATTAAAATAATAAAAATATAATGTGATATAATAAAATTACATTAAGGTTAATGAACTAGATATAATTGTTGCAACGAGAAAATTTACAGCTGAAAATCTGCGTGCGCAGCTTAAACGGTTCAAGTTACCCAAAATATATGTATGAAAGAATTATTCCTCTTTGATTGATCTAAAAAAACGTATGCATGCTATTTAGCTTACCATATTTTTCTAATGTTTGTATTAATAAAATTCATGTTTTCTATTATATGTTAGTTTTATATGTAATGTTTTCATTATTAAAAAAAAATATATTGATAATATAGAGTGTTTTAATTATTTATTTAAGTATTTTATTACTTTTAATTATTAATTTATGTTCTACTCCGTAAATAGTAATACCATGAAAATGTATTCCTAAAATGATTAGACTGAAAGAAGAATGTGACAAGTATAAAGAAAAAAAGTTTTTAGATTGTACATTTTTGGAATTTGAGAAAATTGAAAAATGACCTCCTTTCCAAATGCTTTATGTGTTGTATAATATAGATTTTTGTAAATATTTTTTATATGTTCTATACATGATTTGTATGATTTAATATTTTATTATAATAGACTGAAAAATATAATAAGTTTTCAACAAAAAGAAATACTTTCATTAAAAGAACAATTGAATAAAGTTCCACTGGATTTTGAAACGTGGTTTACTGAGCGTTTATCACATTTATTTTCACCAACACAAATAGAGTTGCTTTTACGACCCAAACATGAAGTTTTTCGATGAGCTCCAGAAGATATTTCTTCAGCAATATCTTTAAGAAGTATTTCTACTAAGGCATATCGATATTTAYAAGATAAAAAAAAATTTCCATTACTGGGCAATATTGTTTTATTTAATTATAATAATATTTATTAGAACAAAATTATAGTACAAATTTAACAATAAAAACAATTGCTCAACCTTTTAACTAAAGCTAGTAAGAAATGAGCTGAGTATATAAGATTCCATTAGTTACTTAATAATTGATATAGTTTYATTCATTCATTCTAGGGCTTTCTACTCTCAGGCAATGGGTTTCAAACTTTCAAGTGGAACCAGGTTTGTTAACAAATGTGCTTACATTAATACAAGCTAAAGGTAATTGATGAAAATATTGTATTTAATAAAAAATTAACATAACATTGATAAATCCACATGTTAAAGGTGTCCATTTAACTTCTGAACAGAAAATTACAGTGATATCATTTGACGAGACTTATGTTTCTGATAGAATATAGTATGACAAAAAGTATGAGAAAGTCTATGGACCGCATAAGTGTGTTCAAACCGTTGCAGCTAGAAGTAAAACATTTATGACAAGTGTTTAACTTACCTGTAAAATAAAAATTTAATTTTAATGTTTAAAATATTATATTTGATTAGGTTTAATAGGAAATTAGAAACAGCCAATCTATTACAATAAATTATGATACTTCTATGGATAAGGATATATTATTAAAAATTATAGAGGAACTATATAAAGTTGGTTATGATGTTGTAGCAACTGTCAGTGATACAGGGCCTACAAACATTRGCTTATGGCATACTTTAAATATAAATATGGAAAAAACATCATTTAAGCATCCCATTTCTAATAATAATGTCCATGTGTTTGCAGTCGTACCTCACATAATTAAACTAGCTAGGAACCATTTCCTTGACAAGTTACATTAATATAAACTTACAAAATTGAATTAGTTAATTAATTAAATTGTTCTTTCAGAGGATTTATTTTTCCGATAAAAAGTATATAGGGAAAAATATACTACAAGAGTTACTAAATTTAAATGCAGGGAAAGATTTTAAATTGGCTCATAAACTTAGAGCGTCACATTAATTTCAAAGGATGAATGTAAGGTTGGCCGTCAATGTATTTTCTAATACAGTGTCTAAGGCACTTTCGTTTGTGGCCAACAACATATGATTGATCAGTACAACTGGAAAGAGACTAAGAAGTAAGTCGTATATTAATATATAAAATTTTAATTTATCATAAACAATAATATGATTATATATTAGAATATTATTAGGCTTCTGAGGTCATTGGACTTTTTAATGATTGGTTCGATTTGTTGAATACACAACACAATTTCRATAAAGGAAATGAAAGTTATGGTCTAAATTTTGAAAAACAACTTGATTTATTAACRAAAATGACAAATTTTATTACAAATATGAGAGTTCATGGAAAGAATTATCTTTTACCATTTCAAAAAGGTAAAAATATTATTTTTAAATGTATATAATTTTTTTAATTGAACCTTTTATGCTTCTAGGTATAGCTATCTCAAATACATCACTCATTAATTTGTTCAACGATTTAAATGCACGAGGGCTGTCTTTTATTTTAACAAGGAAATTAAACCAGGATGTTGTTGAGAACCTCTTTAGCTTTTTAAAGGGTATGGCCGGTTCTGCATGTAACAGTATAACTGTCCTTGATTTTAAATATTGGTAAATATTTCTAATTATTCGTTTTACTAATATACAAACTTGTGCATGTTTATAAATATATTATGTTCTTTATAGCCTACGTTGGTATATTTTGGGGAAGAATTCCAACTTTGTTTTTACTGAAAACCACAATTCGGAAAATGATTTAGAAGAAAGTCTTTTAAATAATTCTGAGTGTTTAACTAKTGAAGTTATTCAAGATTCTGAATTGTTACCTGACTTGTTTTCTTTAGACACTCATGATAATGAGTTGGCTGAAATTGAGTTGACATTTGGCACAGCAATGGCAAATATTCCATAGRACAATTTGGCACATTTAGAAGAATTTGAAACAGCAAATGAGCCATTTGACGATTTAGAAATACAATATGTAGAGTACATAACTGGGTACCTGATAAATCGATTTGGACATAAATATCCTTGTTTACTAGATTCAGACATATCAGACGAAAATAATGAATCCAAGTCAAATTGGATAGGTCATATTTCCAAAGGCAACCTGAAACATCATTCAGAAAAATTAGTAAGACTTACTAAAATAATGGAACCTTATTTCAAAGAATTACATGGTGAAGGAATTTCAAAAGCACCTGGAATTATGATAACATTGACAAAGACATTATTAAATATTTCTT